GCTGGGACCTGCGTGCCGTGGTCATGGGACCCCGTTCACAGGCCGAGCTCAGTCATGGGACGCAGGAAACCGAATTAAAGCGCCTTAAGGAGCTTTTTTTCTGAGCTCTGCTCTGCTTTTCACGTGCTTGTCATATGAACAAAGAAGGTATAAAAGGGTGAGGGGAAGGAACCCAGCAAAGGACAGAGAGGAGGGAGCCGGAGGCGCGATGTCAGGGTGATGGGCTCTGCGCTGTGCTTGCCCAGGATGAAGGGAAGGAGGAAGGAAGGGAAGAGGAGAGGATCCCCTGCCAGCATCGCACACCTCTGCCCCGCCAGGTGAGTAAGGCAGTGGCCGGGGGCTGGCGGGGGCCGGGGTGGGTCTGGGCGGTGGCGCTGGTGGAGCAGTTGAGCGTTTCGTGGTCCCCAGCTGCCCCCGGGTCTCCCAGCAGCCAGGATGCGCTGGGCATCCTGGCATGCCCACGGCTGCCCCATCCCGCAGCGGCACAGCTCTGCAACGCACACAGATACACACACGCGTGCATCCACAAACAGCTGAGCACTCATGCACGCATGCACTTGCTGGCGTGCCTGCACGATGCCGAGACGCGCACCCGTGGATGCACACAGGAGGAAAGTGCCCCACGCAGACACCCCCCACGCGGATGTGCAGGCACGCACATGGACACGTATGCAGCGACTTGCGTGCACGCGGCCATGCCTGCAAACACGCAAACGCACACGCATGTGCGCGCGGAGGCATGCCCACGCAGCAACATGCAAACCCACCCACCTGCACGTGCGCACACATTTGCACGCATGCATTCACATGAGCATGTGCAAACACACACGGGTGTGCACACACATGGAAGTGCACACACATGGATGTGCACACACCACACTGCCTTTTTAATATCATGCTCCTCATCCCCTCCTGTTTGCACACGCACAAACACACATTTATATATGACCCCCCCCACACCAAAAGCCAGTGCAGGCCATGCGTGCACCCCCCACTTGCACCCCTGGGCCCCCTCCACGGCCCCAACTGCCCCCCCAGCACCAGGGACCCATGGGCCATGCTGGGGATGTCCCCTAGGGCTGTGTTTCCTCCCGGGCTGCCGTGATGCTGCTGGGGGGATCCCTCAGCTCCCACTGCCCCCCAGATCTGCTCCTACCTGCCTTTTCTCCCCTCCTGACTCGTTTCTCCCCTCCGCCTCCAGGATTTGCTCCAGGATTCGCTCCATCTCCAGGACCTGAGGAGCCCTGTCCCCTGTGAGCTTCCCTTTGTCATCCTATGCCTGAGCGATGCCTGGAGGCTGGGACGGCGAAGGGAAGCCCACGGCCGGGCCAGCCCTGCAGCAAGGACGCCGGGACCCCACCACGACGTGCTGGGATGAGGCTGGGGACGAGTTCCGGGGGGCCGGAGCCCCCCAGAGCACGGGGACAGGCCAGGCTGGGGCAGAGGATGGCAAGTGATTTGGGGGAGCTGGGCTGGGGATACAATTAGTACTTTGTGCTCATTTGCAACGCGAGAAGCTTTCAGCGTAAGAATGAGTAGTAGCCTGATTTTTTTTTTGATGTTTTCCCCCTGAAAAACTTCTGAACTTTGACAACGCTGCTGCAAAGAGGGTTATGGTGGGGTGGGGAACGGGTGTGATTAAAAAATTTAAGAGGGTTTAATGGGGAAAATGACCTTGCGGGGTGAACGCAGAGAAATCGGGCTGTTCCCAGCCCCGCCCTCCCTCCCCGGGGTGTGTGTGTGTGTGTGTGTGAGTGTGAGTGTGTGTGTGTGTGAGTGTGTGTGTGTGTGTGAGTGAGTGAGTGTGTGTGTGTGTGTGTGTGAGTGTGTGTGTGTGTGTGAG